ACTTTACAAATAATTAAAATGTGACTTATGAAGCCTACAGTTGATCGAGTCCGTATATCTCAGCCACACATTAAAACTTTTGGTATTAACCCTGCTACATATCTCATTTAACTCTCACAACAGCCTAACAAGGGAAATTATCTTAGTTATCCCATTTTACAAAAAAGGAAAGGAAGGCTTCAAATGTTTCAGTAACTCAGTGACACACACCTAGTGGCAAAGCTAGGGCTGGGACCCAGTCTGTCTTCCAAACACATGTTCCCTCTCATAACAGAGTAGAAAGAAAAATAGGCCAGAAAGAGAAAAGACCAACATAATTGGGATTCTGCTTTATGTCCATCAGTAATTAAAATAAAATGGAAGTACCTGGCTTGTGTGATCTTTCCCACAGCAGCCTCTATATAACTGGGGAGATGCCAGCACTAAGAAGCAGGGATCCTTTGTCAATTACAGAGTGATGTATAAAATGTCATTTACGGTTAAGAATGGCAGACTAATAGAATAAAAGCTTATCTAGTCAATGTTTTGTATAAACAATCAGAAATTATTGCTTTTTTTCATTCTTGTGCTTCTTGGGAGGTAAATATTTTTTAAGGACGAATCACTATTTTTTCTTTAAAAATTCATTTAGGAAACATAATATGTTTTGGCAAAGATATTTAAAACATAACACTGCCATTTAAAAGAATTCAAGTACATTCACACAGAGAAACTCTAGACACAATAACATACCTTCCCTTGTCTGTTCTCTGGGAAGGACTTGCTTTGGAGGGGGAGAATTCCGGAGTGAATCTGATGAACTGCCTTGACCCTTTTTGTCTGGCATCTTAGTGAGTCTGGAATATTTTGAGGCTGTAATTGGTCTCTAAGTTTCCCTGAGCCTTTGTGTTTGCAAATGAATTTGCAGCCTGGGTAAAGACAACAACCCAGCTTCCCTGAAGTAAGGAGAGACTGAAAAAACCAAGATGGTGAAAAACCATGCCAGAAAAGTGGACAAGACAGTGTTTATATTTAGATTATTGCTTTCATATGGACGTGCGGAAGAGAAACACAAAATCAAGAGACACAAAATGCCCCATAAAATCAACTTCGGATTTTCTTTGAGCTGACACTTTTTCCTGGACTTCTAGACAAATGCTCCCCTCCTGTGGTCAGAGGGTAGAATACAGGGGAATAGAGAACTTCAACCGGAAGGATAAGGGAAGCGAGTAGGGAATGTGTTAGTCTTTTTGCCTGTTTTCTGAAGAGCTTTTGGTTTATGGACCAAAATTATTGTTCAAAATATAAAATAAGGTAACAACAGGAAGAAATAGCAAAACCCTTATATAATAACAAAACCAACCAACAAAACCCCAGAAACAACAATAAAATAAATTTCCAAACAATGACCCAGTTTACCTATTTCCACATTCATGGAGCCTTCTTTTATCATCCAAATGAAAAGTGATACTTCTCTAAAAAATAAACAAATGAATATAACAAAACAGAAACAGCCTCACAGATATGGAGAACAAGCTAGTGGTGAGAAGAGGGGAGAGGGATGGGTGAGGGGCAAGAAAGGGGAAAGGGATTAGAGGTACAAATCACTAGGTATAAAATAAATAAGATACAAGGATGTAAGTACAGCACAGGGAATATAGCCAATATTTTCTAATAACTTTAAATGGAGTATGATCTATAAAAATATTGAATAGCTCTGTTGAACACCTGAAACATATTGTAAATCAAGTCTACTTCAATAAAAATATGGAAAAAGGACTCCCTCCACAGAGACTCTGCTACGTATTAGGAAATGTATTAGTTGCTGAAGATTGAAAACTGAAAAACGCATATTCTCTGCTCTCAAGTAACTCAGATTTAATTGGGGGTACAAGTGGGGATGAACAGAACAAGTAATTTTAATTACCTGGTAAATGACAAGATGAGTACACATAGAATGCTTTGGGAGAACAAAGGATATTGTGTCCAACTCTTGAGGAAGACGATGGCTAAGCTGAATATTCAAGTTTTAGAAGAGGTATCCAGGACATAAATGGCCACGCTGAGAGTCTAAGCCTTATTTCCTATAGCTGGGTTAGACAAAATAACAGGCTTGTGTTGGCTGCAGTGTCTTACCCCAGCCCCAAATCCCATGTGTAGCTCCATAAGTGTTTGAGAGTCAACCCCAGGTAGGCATGGGAAAGCAAGGAGTAATTTTAAAGATGAGAACAAGCTGCTATGATCTGCACATTAAATCAAGCTGGAAACAACAAGTAGGGTAAAAATAAAGAGGACACAAGTGGAAGCAGTTAATTTAACTAAGAAGCTGCTGCAAGGGTTCAGGCGAGAAGCTCTTAACAGAAGTGATGGAGAATAGAAGACAGGTGGGAGAAGTAAAATCAGTAGAACTTGTGAAGGACTGGATATGGAGGGTGAGGGAAAAGCAGGAGAGAACTGAGCCCATGAATCTATCCTAATTCTATCTGACAGCTCTCACTGACTTGGGGGAAGTAGGAGAGGGAACAGGTCTGGATTCAAAGATTAACTCAGGATACTTAGCAGATGGTGGCTTTTAACCCTCCTGTATTAATTTCTATTTCATTGTTTTGGGGACTTAAGTGCCTTATCTTACCAGAAGTTCATTGAGAGCAAGGAACATATCTTGTCTTATATCCCTTAGAATGCCTTTTGAAAAAGCACTCTTTTCAAATTGTTAAAAATGTCATTCTCATAAAAATTAATGAGCATGTGTCCAAGTTTTATGTACTCCATTAAATAAAGAAACCAGTAGAATAACTGACCTGATTCAAGAAAGATCTGAAGAATGAGGCAAAGTACGGTGAAAGAAGGCAGTATGCTAGAAACCAAAGTGGTTAATTGGCATATAGGACAAACGCCTCATCTTTGAGTTTTTCTTTTTTTATCATGCAAAAAAAAAAAAAGTCTCACCGTATCAACTTTCTGCAAGTTAGCTTCTAGCTTTACAGGGCTGTAAAACGACGGGGTTCTCATCACTTGCTGCATTTCCCCAGAGTCAAAAGACTTTTCATTTGACATATTAGAAACCACTCTGAAATGAAATTAGAAAGACAAATACTCATTTTGCTTTACTTCCATGTTTTGAATATTTTTCTACATATTGATACTTTCCTATAGTAGCTCTAAGAATATTTAATGTGCACTTTAAAAATATTGAATTTATACCCTGTGGCTGTACAAAAATACATCTGAGGTGATGTAAATTAAAGGCAAAACTAAAGTAAATTAAAGGCAAAAGAGTGAAATCAATAAAGTAAAAAGAAAATAGAAATAATTGACAAGATTCCATAATTAAATTTTAGATTTGTTCATGCATTTCTAGGCAGTCAGGGCAAAGTAATTTACATAATAAATTATTTATTTCTTATTATAAAGGAAGAAGAATCTAGTTCTTGAAGTGGCTGTTGTTTTGTTTTCTCCTTCTCCTTCTAAATTCTAAAAAAGAGTGTCATATGGAGCTTCATGAAGATGATATAGATGTAGTGGCCCTTGTTCTCAATATTTTTACAGTAATACAGGCACAGATTCCCAATGACTCTTTGTTATAGAGCCTATTGATCAAAACCAATGTTTTCACATTTATAAGTGCATCTGCATGCAAAAATGTATTTGTTAAACACATTTTTATTTGGAGCATTTTCAGTGAGCAAAAAAGCCTTCATCATTCACTCTGACATTTCGTATGTAAATACAAAGTAGCTTAAATAAAGTGAGCATTCTTTATCAGCCACTGGACACATACTTTACCCATGGGGTAGGTAAGCACTTGACTACACATTTGCACCCCTATGAAAGCTGCTCACCTGTAGGTCAGAGGCACAGCTGTATCATGAGGCCATAGGAGGAGTCCCTTTGTGTGGGCTTTGTATGAACCTAGTGGATGTTTACTTGTCCCACTGGCACTATGGTAGGAAGTGTTCCCTGCCCCCATTAATATCTCCAAAAGACACCAGGGTACTTTGTTTTGGAGCTAGAAGAAGTCAGTTGAGCTGTTGACATGATTAGCATATTTGAGTTATATACAGAACTGGAGTTCATCAAAACTTTTCATTTATAACATTAGACAGAATCCATAACAATAACTGCCTATTTCATGGCATGCTGATATGCTTGGTACCTTTCTCATAGAGACTCAGGCAATTGTAAGTCTTCATCAAATAATGTAGTCATGATGTCTTGAGGGCTGGGGTTATGTCTTACTCTCTGTTTTAGGGATCTGACGTGACACAGGAGATGGTTCCTATAAACGGGTAACAGAACTTTAACTTGATGAGCGACACTTTTTGCTAGTTAAAGATAAGAGGTTGCAACTTAAGAACCATTCTTAGCATGGATTTTTCAAGCCCACCCCCAAAGACTAATATTATTTTTAATTGTTCTCAATAGTGACCTATAAAATTATGCCTCACATTGTGCCATATTGGTTCTTTATTTGTTTCATGTATACATGGGTCGTTTCCCACATAAACTGTAAGCTCTTTGAGGGTCGACCCATTCATACCAGGCCATAGGGATGGACACATAATGGATGGTCATGTAACAGACGCTTGTTAACTTGTTACATCTACTGGGTCTACAAGGTAGAGAAAAAAGGTAGGTGGATAAAGCAAAAGAAGTAATAGCTAGAATAAGAATGGCAAATAGCTGGCAACATTCTTCCCCAAACTATATTCAGAGCAGGCGTGCTAATGACCATAGTTCCCTCCTCATGAGTGTAAATTGTGCCTTGGACTCCTCACCATAGTGCCCATGGCAGGTACAATAAAAAATTCAGAGTGGATAGATGAGAAGAAACCTATATACCATCTTTGATGTAGAGTTTGTTCCCCAACATTATACGGATAACCCTGATTTCCCTCACCCTGCTTTTCTAAAGTAGATTAAGAGTTAAAACAAAACAAAAACCTATGGACAATGCAAGATAAAGTTTTTAAAAATGCAGTTTGTTTTATTTTTATATAAACTAAAACACCAGAGCTCATTGATTCCTGTATTAAATACATAAATTATAAAATAACCATTCATAAAACTTTACATACAATAAGTTGATTCCAATCTCTACGGTAATAACATACAGTACATGTACATGTTTGGTGTACTTCAGAGGATCATTCTGGTGAAACTCAGTGAATTTATATTTTTCTTCCATTGATAAACAAGCACTGAAGCAATATATGGAGTCATGCTAATGAGATGGAGAGAAAGAACCCCAACTGAAGCAGTTGACTGAATGAGAACTCTGAGAAATTGACCCCCTGGCTGCATTAAAACAGTAGACATCTGGGGAATTACGTATTCCCATGCACGGGCTTTGTACTTGAGTCCCCGCAGAATTGTATCGTGGAGGTTCAAGCAGGCATAAACCCTTTACGGAATGAGATTTTTAGATGATAAAAATATGTGACTTTGGGCCAATATTAATACTGTAGATTGTGCTGGACTCTGTTGCTCTTTCCAGAAAAACCACTGGCATCACCAGAAGGCTAGTTTATGGGCTTGGGTAATTGGAAAACCAATGAGTAGTTCTTTGCCTCAGTCAAAACCAGGGAATAGTAGTAATGGACAGAAGGTAGAGGAAAGGGAGAAGAGACAGGCAAGCAGGGGTAGAGCACAGATACCAGATGCTAAACAAAAACATGAGTAACCCAGCAGCATCAGAAAACCCCTTCCCAATTCCTCAGTCCTAGGACAGAAGTACACATGTAGTAAGCGCTCACAACCATCATACTATATACAGAATGTATATGTGTATATATCTACATCACATATTTATAAAAGTGTTTGGATTTTGATCTGCCTCATTGTGGGAAGTTATTATGGTTAATGGGGGGAAATAGGCACATTTTGTGACTTATCCATCAAATATAAGTGACTGCTGTTATCAAGGGATGCTGGGGATCTGCTTTTGGGAAACTGCATCATCCACACTATAGTAAGTTTGTAGAGGCTTGACTGTAGGCAAAGTTGGACTCCAAGTTGTTTATCTACAGCACTCCCACCCTACAGAACTTTGATATCACAAGGATGGAAACATAAGCATGGGTTCAGAGACCTCAATGCACAAACACAAAGATAAAAACAGGGAACTTCACCCAATCAACCACCTGTACCTCTGAGTTTCATATATTAGCTTGAATATAGCAAATTATAGTCCGTTTATTTTTGCCACATTACCCCTTGAAGTATATCTTTAGTGATTATGATTAAACATGGGTCTTGTACTCTTAACGATAGAAGATTTATTTAGAAAGAACTAAACTGCCAAACTAAAGGCTGCAAAGGAATGTGAATATGCTCTGCCTGGTACTGAAATGGGATCACAGAGGATCAACTCCAACTTCTGTTATGTCTGAATCCTCCTGCCACAATGCCTGAGGTTCAGTCTCAGGACAATATATTATATAGACATGACAAGGCAGTTGAACAGAATGGAAGCTTTTGGCCCTCAAGACCTTTTGACCTACTCTTTTCCCTTTAGAAAGTAGAAGTCCACTTAAGGAGAGGCTTGGGTCCACCCTGGAAGCATTAACTCATGACATAAAGAGTCACCTAAGATTTGCTTTGATGACTATCTCTCAAGTTATATCGAACTTTTTCAATATAGCAGATAAATATATACATACACATTCATGTATATATGTATATGTATACATATATATACTGTACCATTCTTTGACAGATCAAAAATGCAATTAAATATTTAAAGAATGTCTATGCTGCCCATCTATTTTGACGTAATATAACACATATGATCCAGTTATTTAGCATCAACACAAAACTGATGAACACTATTTTTACAGTTTCCATGAAAACCTAGGCAGGTTAAAAAGACATGCTTCATTTTAAAACAATGAACTTATGAATTACATCAAAGACATTGAACACGTGAATTATACAATGGGTTTACAGAAAAAGTTGACAATAAATAGGCAAAAAGGAACAAATTTGCCAGAGATTTATTTTAAATGGAAAACCACAAAAGTAAGTTGAAATATTGTAGCAAAAATTTGTTTGGCAAAACTTTATTTCTTCTATTACTAGTGGAAAACGTATGTCCTCATTCTACTCCAGTGATGACCCATGAGCCTTCTACATCATCTCTATCCTTTAGAAGAACCATGCCACCTACGTGAGCAGTTTTTTTAATAAATGGAAAAAAAAATCAAAGCAAAATTTATTCTTCCACCCCTAAAAACCTTGCTATTGGCAAAAATTTCATTTATATGATGTAAGTTAAAAGGGATTTGATAGTTATTTTTAGCAAATTCTAGTGTTACCTAAAACAAAACTTGGGTGGCCATTAAAAACAGTTAGACAATTTAGTAATAGATGCTTTCTAGTTTTATAGTCAAATACAGTCTTCTATTTCTTTTTCCTTTCTCATGAAACTTTTCCTGTCCTCAATAGCCGTGCTAAATTGGGACTTTCGTTTTATCTCAAACTATTTTTTTAAATATCTTCAGTTGTTTATTTTCCAAGAGATGAAGACTTTGTTAAGAAAAATTAAGTAAAATGAACTCTGAAGAATGCTGTTCTGATTGCTGCTAACCCACTGGCCAAATATGTCAGGATAGTTAAGATGTAGAAATTAAAGCAGATATTAAAGACCCAAGTGGGGATCATTTGATCTCTGTAAGAAGTGGAGTCACAATAAACCTCTCCATTATTGAGACACTCTTTTTACGCTTGCTGAACATAGTATGCAAGGGAAGCGTTCATTTAGATATGATCCATTTCTTTGGGTCCATGAGTGACTGGAACACACATGTACAATTTTGCTGATGCTTTTTCTAATTGTGGAAATGGATAACAGAGAATGTGCCTATCAAAATAGTTAGCCCTACCCCAAGATATGTTAATTTTGAGGATCATGAGTAAGGTACGGTAAAAATATCACCTTTTAGCTTAAAATCTTAGAGAAATTTGCTAATCTCTTGGATCTTAAGCTAAATCCCCCCCTTGTTTTTTTTTTTGCATTTTCCGTAAACACATCTAAAGCTGCTTAGATGGCCATTCTCATGAGCATCGCTCTTGTATGATTTTGTGTGTATGTGATACAATCAGATTTATAGCAGATAAGGTACATGATTAAACTACATTATTTTAATAAATATTTCTGATTGTTCAAACCCCAGTCAGTGCTTGGATATAAAATTTAGCCTACAAGTTTCTTGGTGGGGAAAGCAAGATGAAGAGGAAGAAAGTAGGTTTGGTGGAGCAGATGGGGTATGAATTTGCTCAGATGCACGCTGGAATGGCCAATGGAAAAGTCGTCTAAGATATGGGAGAGTAATTTATCCTCTTCCATATGTTCTGACTGAGATTTGAAAGTGTTGGGTCACAAACTGTAGTAGCACCCTTTTTCATATTGCCTGCACAATGCATGTACTATTCATACTTAATATTGAACCTACCCAGTTGAACAAAGAACCCAGCAGAAGGATAGTTATATTGTATATTCCCAGTAGGACATCTCACAAGACCTCCCTCTCCAAATGAAAGGGATAATTAGACTAATTATGTGATATTCTCAGTTCACTTCAAACCTTAATTTCATGGCTGGCTCTCCTATGATAAAAGTGGAGTTTTGTATTATGGCATGCATATACAGTAAGGAGAGCTAGAAAATGCTTATCATTGAAATTACACATTCTTCTAACTTGTTCAATAGCATGAGAATGATCTATTTACTATAGGTGATTAGGGATCCCGGCTCTGGATCGCTCAATCTTTATTGCTAGTAATTGATGGGAAAGCTTCAGTGCTACCGTGCTTAGATTGAACCAAACTGAAGCACTATTTTATTACACAGGGGACTCTTTCTCAACAACACAAGAAAGTCAAATATAGCAGTCATTATAATTACAAAGCACTTTGTGCTACTTTAAGCACCTCTTGTTCCAGAATTGCAAAAAAACCTCAAAAAACAAAAAAGAAAAAACAAACAAACAAAAAACCTTTATGAAAAAGCATTTTAACCTCATTTTGAGACGAGGAAGCTGAGGCACAGAGAGGTTAAGTGACTGGGCCAAAGATACCTGGGTCAGCAGTAAATATAAGAACAAAAAGTGGGATTCCCGCATTGTAGCTTTTCTTGTACATTCTTCAGTTATTGTTCTGGCTTTGAAAATGCCAGTGCTAAAACTGAAGAATAAGATACTGAACCCACGTATGGAAGAATTTGTGTAGCATTTCACAGAAAGAGTTTCTGGTTCCCTACACACATTCTTAATGCATGGGAATGCTAGCCCTGTAAATAAAACGTTGACAATTTGAAAAATTGAGGCTGTTTTTTTATCTACAGTAAATGAGGCTAAAATTAGTTTTTCAGGAACATTTATTTGCTCTCAGAGCTGAATCCAAGACTCAGTATTACATAACCTAGGAAAGTACCAGTCTTCTAATTGTCTCTGGTAGAAAATGACCTTATCAGTAACACAATGTTACTTTTATATAAAAAAGTAGAGCTACCTTGTTGCTGTCAGATCTCTGGGGAAAAAGAAAAACGTTATCAGTCTAAATGACAAGAGGTCAGAATGCTCTAAGCATATCAGGATACTTCTAAAAATAATCATAATTTCATTTAATAGTCACATCTCTGTGGTAAATTCAACTGTTGGTAGAAGTTTACTTATCGCCTCTATTTGTATCAAATCACATAACATGTTATTTGCAGGCAATTTTAAGCAGCCATTTGAGGACCAGTATTTGGGAAATGGAAGTATTCAGAGGTGCCTCTGGCCCTATAGTCGTTGACATTCTAAACAGAACTAAGTCAGGGAGCTTGTGATTTAGAGCATCATCTTCTTAATTTTCAATATGAATGAGATCAGTTTGTTGCTCGTGGAGGACCACAGATGTGACAGAAGGCCAAGGAAGCGTCAACATGTGCTGTTATTTCGTATGTTGCATTCGCCTGGGTCTTTCACTTTGGTTGCCAGTTTAGTCGGGGTCACTGTGATCCACTTCTCCTCTGTCATGTGTGGAATGCATTCCACAAGCTCCACCGTTTGCAGAAAAACAAACCAGACACTCACTGCTTTTCTTCTCACTCAAATTGCAGATGTCTCAGTTCCTGAGTTTTAAACAATAATAAAGACAGAAAAGCAAATCCCTGTAGTAAGAAACCAGACTTTTCAAATGAAATATTTTATTGTAAATAGCTCCTCATGGGTATTCCTCGTGCTTCAATCCCCACCCACCCTTATTTTTTTGTTTGATTTTTTAAAATGATGTTTATTTCAGGACTAGTGATTCCATGGGGTGTAGTGTTACATTAAAATGACATCCCCTGCACAGCAGGGGTAGAATGTTTCTTTGTAACTTTGGTTCCATGCCCAAGACACATCTTTGCTTGATCTGTTGAAACTGTTTCCATTGCTGAATAAGTTTTCTTCTCGCAATCTATGTTTATAGTTCTTTCCTTCTGGTTTGACCTATACATGTTTCATTAAATGCAGCATATATTGTAGATTTTCAACAGGGTCATGTAGGAACTGTCAAGTAAGAAACCTTGAACAATGGCTTTAAAATACACAGTTGTAGTCCTGGCTACATTATAGTTCTAAGCTTTTGATCTCCCTTTCACTGCTGTAAACATTTCTGCCATCTTTGAAGGTTTAGAAGTATCTGCTTTTCTGCGGTCTTATCCGTGTTTTCGGTTACTCTGTAAAACAGACGGAGAAATTCTTTAATCATCACTTCTGTCAATAGCTGAAACAGAATAAAAGCACAAACTCTTTTTTTAAAAGAAAAAACCATCTTTTATTTTTTACCACCTCTTGGAACTGCATGATCTTGTGCATGTTATATAAAGAAAATCGCTAAGCTTAATTTCTTTAATTTAAAATGAGAGAACAGAAGTATCTATTTCAAGGGTTACTGCAACGTAAGGCATGTAAAGCAATTAACAGTTCTTGTCTCATATAAGTGACCTGAAATATTAGCTGTTATCCTTATTGCCTTCTTCTCTGGGACCTTCTAAGCCAATGCCTTGAGAAGCTCAATTAAAATATTATTTTCATTTTATTGTATTTTAAAAAATTTTATTGAAGTATAGTTGATTTACAATGTTGTGCTAATTTCTTCTGTACAGCAAAGTGACTCAGATATATATATATATATATATATATATACATATATATATATTCTTTTTCATATTCTTTTCCATTATGGTTTGTCACAGATATTAAATACTGTTCACTGTGCTATACAGTAGGACCTTGTTGTTTATCCATCCTGTATATAATAGTATGCCTCTGATAATCCCAAACTCACATTCATTTCCTCCCTTAAACCCCTCCCCCTTGGCAAACACAAGTCTGTTCTCTATATCTGTGAGTCCGTTTTTGTTTCATAGATATGTTTAGATTCCAAGTATAAGTGATACCATATGGTATTTGTCTTTCTCTTTCTGACTTACTTTGCTTAGTATGATAATCTCTAGGTCCATCCATGTTGCTGCAAATGGCATTATTTCATTCTTCTTTGATGGCTGAGTAATATTCCATTGTGTGTGTGTGTGTGTATATATATATATATATATATATATACATACACCACATCTTCTTTATCCATTCATTTGACAATGGACATTTAGGTTGCTTCCATGTCTTGGCTATTGTAAATAGTACTGCTATGAACATAGGGATGCATTTATATTTTTGAATTTGCTGGATCATACAGCAACTCTATTTTTATTTTTTTGAGGAACTTTCATACTGTTTTCCCTAGTGGTTGTACCAATTTAAATTCCCACTAATAGTGTAAGAGGGGTCCTTTTTCTCTACACCCTTTCCAGCATTTGTTATTTGTAGACTTTTTAATGATGGCCATTCTTACTGGTGTGAGGTGACACCTCATTGTAGTTTTGATATTCATTTCTCTAATAATTAGCGATGATGAGCATATTTTCATGTGCCTATTGGCCATCTGTATGTCTTCTTTGGAGAAAGGAGAAATGTCTATTTAGGTCTTCTGCCCGTTTTTTTGATTGGGTCGCTTTGTTTTTTTGTTGTTGAGTTGTATGAGCTGTACGTATATTTTGGAAATTAACCCCTTGTCAGTAGCATAAGATATTATTTTAAAAGCCGGTCTATCTATGTTTTTCAGTGACTTACTTTTATGTCACAACAATTGTATTTAACGGCAGATGGTCTCTACCCCAAGGTCCTGACCTGAGGATTCCTTGGGAATTTTGCCACACAGATTTCCTGTTTGGTCTCAGAGTATCTCTGAAAAGGTATTTCCCTGGGCTATGCCAGTCAAGTCTCCTAGCTCTGTTCCTCTTTAAGTCCATGTGTCTGGGTTTTTGCTTGGGTAGAAGTTTAGGACATAATATGCTATTCCAATAAAAGCCAGAAAATGGCACAGAGGACATGTTACCATGTGCTGCCTAAGGACATGGCCTTTAGAATGTGAATGGCATGGATGGAGAAAATGGGATTTCCATGGAAAAGTCATTTAAATTCTCCAAGGCTTAATTTCCCTGTCTATAAGGTAAAGGTACTAATTCTGTAGCAGGATTTTACTGGCACTCCAGAAATAGTGACCAAGATCCAAAGTGGTGGAAAAGGGGGCATGTAGTACCTTAAGGATGCTTCCAGTCCACCATACAGAGGCAAATTAGAGATTTGCCAAAGAAGTTCCTGCCATAGGTGCCATAGGTGCAAGTTCGAAATATTTCGAACTTGTATTTGCAGAGCCACTTTGTCTACTTCCAAAGACTAGATTAGACTGAGATGAAAGAGTGACCGAGTCACAGAAGAGAACCAGTGGGAAGGAACTGCAGTGGTTGGGATGAAAGTACACTGTGGGAGGGAGGGGAGGGTGCTAAAAGGTGGTGCTGGCACAAAGGAGACTTGCATTCTATTGCTCAAACACAGAGCAATGCTCATCTATTTCTCATCCTCCTTTGTCTATCTAGGCAGAGAACTGGAGAGGAATGGCAAGGCGAGACGGGGCAGTAACTTCCTTCCCAACAAGAAGCTGAGGCCAGTACCACCAATGATGAGATCCAGAGTCTCAGTGGAAGGGCTTGGGCCCCAGCCAGGCAGGGGATAGTGCAATGAGCTTCTAAAGAATTCACACATATGACCCTCCAAATGGCCCCATCACCTCTCATAGAAAATACAACAAGAACTGGTCAGTAATAGCCAGAAAAACAGCTTCAACCACCAGGGAGGGGGCCATAACCACTGCCCATGGGTTGAGAGGCATGGATCATTTTCCCTCTTCCTCTTCCCTGCCCTCCAGAAGAGCTGAACCTTGCAGAGGGCAGAGGAAGAGACCTCTTAGAGCCAGCTCGTGCACCTCCTTCACCATGGGGATAAGGGAAGAAATGAGATGAAGCAGAGACTGAAGCTGAATTTTTAAATTAAGCTAGACTTTCAAGAACTGGAAATGACTGGAGAAAAAAAACTGGGGAACCAACCTAAGATTTAATTAAAGGATGAGAGAGGGAAATAAGTGAAAGCCTTGTTTTGATAAAAATAGATTGCAAGGCTTCCCTGGTGGCGCAGTGGTTAAGAATCCGCCTGCCGATGCAGGGGACACGGGTTTGAGCCCTGGTCCGGGAAGATCCCACATGCCGCGGAGCAACTAAGCCCGTGTGCCACAACTACTGAGCCTGCGCTCTAGAGGGTGCGAGCCACAACTACTGAGCCCGTGTGCTGCAACTACTGAAGCCCACGAGCCTAGGGCCCGTGCTTCGCAACAAAGAGAAGCCACCGTAGTGAGAAGCCCGTGCACCGCAACGAAGAGTAGCCCCCGCTCACTGCAACTAGAGAAAGCCCACACGCAGCAACGAAGACCCAACGCAGCCAAAAATAAATAAATACATTTATTTAAAAAAAAATAGATTGCATTCAGACTTACATCCCACTGAGATGAGAGCCCCAAACAGCTCGTTACAGCTATAAGATTCCCATAATCCCTGGTAAAGAAGAGAACTAATCTGAATGTGTATAAAAGATGCTTTAAGGTGTGTGTGTGTCTGTGTGCGCGTGCACACTCTCTCTCTAAATATATATGTATATACATACACACACACAGTGTGTTTTTATATATAAAATAAATATGTAACATAAAAGTCTTTTACTTGCAAATTTTCAATTTATATAACCTCAGAGATAAATCCTAAATTCTGTTTCAAAGCACATATGCACCATTTCTCCCCATCACAACTGAAGTAAAGCCCATCATTTGAGTAAAACCATGTTGGTTTTAAAAAACAAATGGATTTATAGGCAGTCTCCCAGAATGTTAAATTTCTGCAAATTGAGTATCTATAAAAGGAACTATGATTTCTACAGCAAAGCCAGGTTTATTCAAACAGGCATTATGAATAAGTGAAGTAGTATCCAATGCGTCACCACACATGACCCATTTTCAATGACCTAAAGGTCAGTATGCTATAACTAAAACTGTATAAAATACAAATCCATATTTGATTCAGAAGGCCCTTCTGGATATTACAAAACCTCAGGGATTCTTTTGAATGTATTGCTCTACAGCGCTGAGCTTTAGTTTCCTCCTCTGTAAAACAGTGACTGCAGTCATCCCTTCTGAGAGTTTACAACACGCCACCAGACTCTAAGTTGATGACTACAGTGATGTCATTTCTGACTTCTGACTCTAGTATCCAAGTACCTGCCGCATTGCCCGGTTCACAGAAGAAACCTAGCAAATATGTGCCGAGATCAATTGATAGGCTACTTATGTTCACAGTTCTTTAGAGTTTTCTAACTGCTAGAAGTTGGTTCAGATCCTTTATGGACCATGTACTTAGAGGCACATTGATTAACAAACTGTAGCTAATTCCTGTTCTCTGGTTATGACAAATAGCCAAAAATCATGAACAGCAATCACGCCCTATTCCTGACTTCCACATATGCTTTTCATGGTAAAGCGTACCACCATCTAACCAGTTATACTGTACCATCTGGGACCCTAAGGGCCATTCCCAATACTTTTCAATCTATCAACCCTTATATACAACTTATCGTACAGTATTCAATAAATGGTAGCTGTTATTCTTACTTCCATTTTATAGATGAGGAAACTGATATGGAAGATTGTTAGATAATTGGTCCTTGAGAATCCTAGTAAAGAAGATAAAAATATTGAATGAAACTTAACTGAAGCTAGAGGATCAAGGAAGGCTTCCCTGAGTCCGTAATTTTACAATGAGATGGGAAGGACAAATGGACATTAACTAGTTGATGGTGCTGTTGGAAATGTGGTCCAGGTAGAGGGAAGCACGTCTCAGAATGCATGATCTAAAACAGAACGCTTGGTGTGTCCTAGGAACTTGGCTTTTAATGATCCTTTCTATGGGCTAGGTACTATATTGGTTACTTTACTTATATAATATTACTTAATTCTCAGAAAAATAGTAGATGCTATTACTTGCTAATTTTTAATTAGGAAATTAATGTTTAGAGGGGTATAATAGTATCTCTTTTCCAGAACTGTTGTAAGTATTACATAAAATAATGGACATGAAATGTACTTTTTCAACTGCAAAACAGGATGCCCTCTTCCTTATTATAGTATCATTACTATCATTAAAAATGCATTTACTGATTGTCAACTATGTGCTAGACACTGTCTAGGTATTTGAGATACAAGAGTAAAGAAAACATCTATGGTCTTTGCCCTCATGAA